CTGGCCTGTAAAGCCCAGAGTCCTGAGTGACTCACACCTCTCCCACACTCAAGTTGTGAGGGTGGGAATTGTGCTGTGTCTAACTTTCAGCTCTGGTGCCTGGCATATAGATGGTGCCCAGGACTTATGTTGGTATGAGAGAAGAAAAGAATGACTGTGGCAGCAATATGTTTGGGAACAAGATCGCTTTCAAGGCAAACACACTATTAGTGCAAGACCGGGCATTTCTCTGGAACATGATTGACAGATAGATGGGTCACAGAGACACACACAGGCATGAAAAGATAAAGGCAGCTCGGGAGTTCAAATAGATGACCTCAACAAAGAATAAGAGAAAGACGAAAACAGCTAACAAGAATATTCTTGATAAACAGTAAGATAAAACATTGACAGTTATTCTACTGCTCCAGATTGTGTTTCTAGTAGTTTTAAAAATAATTACCTAATAGCTTAAACTGTCTCTCAGGTCTGCTAAATAAACTAGACAACTTAAAACTGCGCCTCTTCCCTATGTTATACTAGGCCTAAAAGAGTAGGCTAAGAGAAGTATGCTCCATGCTAAGCAAAGGAAAGGCAATCACCACTGCACAGTGCCCTCCGTCCCATTCATTACGTCATGACTGCTGAAGGACTTCTGCCACCGCATTCTAACTTCCAAGTTTTTTCTTTTTAAATATCAACTCCATGTTTAATCAAATGAAGGTACCACCTTCCCAGCACTAGAATATCCTTGCATGATTTGTATCATCCCTGTTCTCCACACAAGTCCTTCTATGCTGGCTCCAACAGAGGTGAGAACTCTGGGTCTTATCGAGTAAGGATGTTCTTGGCAACCACTTTCACGTTACATCTTAACATAGCCGGTGTTTTATCAAGGACTTCCTAGAACCAGTCTCTAACTATGCCACCCAACTTGTTCTCCTTCAGTCTGCAGAATAACCATGTGCTAGAAACCATGACCCTCACTTTATAAAGAAGAAAGTTGAGCCAGGGCAAGCAGCCCTCCAAGTCACGCAGGTGGTAACTGATGGAGCCACTGGCTGTGTAGACGCCTAGCCACTGCTCCGCCTCCTGCAGCAGAGCACGTTCCATGGAGCTGAAGACAAATCCAGCGATTCCAAGTTGGGAGAGTGTTAATGCAACGCCAGTTGAGCTGATTTCTAACCACATTACTAAAACGTTGCTAAAATCACAATGAATGTGCTTGGACAACATTACGTAATAGTCAATATGCTGAGAAGCAACACTGTCCCTCAAGCCGAGTCATTCAGAATTCTCAGTCTGGCCTTTCACAATTGGCTCTGTCCGTCAGACTCAGACGAGGCTCTAGTTTGAATTCTAATGAGGAGTAGGAACACTGAATATTTAAACTGCAATTACAAAGATCCTGCTTTTATGCAGATGTCCTAAATACAAGTAAGAGAACCGAGAATACACATAGGTACTAATGGAAAATACCAGTCGAATTTGCCTTTAGAAGTTGGAAGAAAATCAATACTGTTTTCCACTTGATGCTATTATTGGGGTGGGCAAAGAAAGGGAGGAAAAACCACACAATCTCAGTAAAAATTTTAAAGCCCAGGCTCCTGAGTGAAAGGTTCACAAAGAGGTGCTTGAATCCTTTGTTAACAACTGAACAAACAAATTCATCACCAGGCCCTTCTGTGTGGCCCCTCTGCAATATGGTCTGTACTTATAACTAGAAATTTCTTCACTGCAAGGAAGATATGCTGAGGGTAGGGAAACAAAAGACCATTTCACGGTTCACAACCTATTTTTTGCACTCTCTTAAGTGAAATGATGATGTGCCAGCTGTGGCTCACTTGAGTCCTCTTAGCTAAAACAGTGAGAGTCCCGTGGACAGTAACCAAGATACACTTGGAGGAGTAGTTAATTCCTACCCCCGGAACAGTTAAATCATACCTTGCTTGCAGCTTAACTTCTGTGGCATTTGGATATCCTTTGGTACATGCTTTTATGAAAAGGAAATATGATGGGATTTCCCCTCGCCTCCCCCCCCCCATCTGTCCTCTGGGTGCTTCTCTTCTGCTGGTACCAAATATGTCTGCTGAGTTTTGAATTTCAGGGTTTTCTTTTTATACCTAAACATTTGATTTGGTCCCTTTTCCAGTTTTTTCTATTATTTTTTATAATTTCCTATTCTCTGAAGATACTTTCAAGCTTGATTTCTAACTGTAATAAGCATAACTGATCTTATATGCATGTCTGTGCAGACTGGCTTCTGTGGTCTGTTACTGATCCTTGCTCAGGTGGTACGTATGCTAGGTTTCCATATATACTAGGTGATCTTTGACTGTGTGCTGGTCACTGGCCTGCAAAGTTTTGGTTGATTCCTAGAGAACTGGGATAAATATGCCTTCCCCTCCAAGAGGCATTTCACCATTTGGCAGGCTAGAGCTTTAACAGGTAAGTGTGCCTGAAACCCAATTCAGGGGATGAGTTTTCCTGAGTACAATTAGCCAAAAGTAAAGCTTCATAGGGGCTTTTCTCTGCCCACAATTTGTCACCATCTATCACTTTTTCCTTTATTTTTCTTTTCCTATTCTGCTGAGTGCCAAGCCTGCTTTTCCGGCAATCCCTGAGAACAAGTTCAGTTCTGGTTCACTTTCATCCTAAGAGTGCAATTCTGTGGAGAGTGGAGAGCCACTTAAACATGGGAAGGGTCTCCAACTATAGTGGGTCCAGCTGCAGTGGACCCAGGCCTCAACTTCTGCCCTCATCTGTCTGCCTTTCTCAGGCTGTGGAGGTCATGACTGCTGGCTGCAACTACTGTGCTTTATCACATTAAAGAAAAAGAAACTACCGAAAACACCTCAGAATTCGGGTGCTAAAAGCAAAACAAAAGGTCAGGCTAGTGTGGTGGTTATGCAAAACAAAAACAAAAACAACACAGATTGCCTTTTAATTCAGCAACTCCACCTCCAGGAATACATACACACACAAAAACAAGAAGTTGAATGGATACTTGTACACTCAACCTCAGAGCAGCATTATTCACAATAGCCAAAAAGTGGAAACAACCCAGGAGTCCAACCCAGGAGAGATAAACAAAATGTAGTATACATACACATGAAAATATCATTCAGCCTTAAAGAGGGAGGAAATTCCGATGCATGCTACCACAGAGGGGAATAGTGAAGACATTATTCTAAGTAAAATAAGTCAGATATAAGACTACAAATAGTGTGACTGTTTATGTGAGGTGGGCCCAGGTAATCAAATTCAGAGAGAAATAAGTAGCCTGGGGGTGTCAGGGGCTGGGGAGGGAGTTCCTGCTTAATGGGAACAGTGTCAATTTGGGGTGGTTAAGACAATTTTGGAAATAGTGGTGATGGTTACATAACAATGCAAATGTACTTAATGGCACAACTGCACACTTAAAATTAGCTACAAAGACAAATTTTATATGTATATTTTACAATAAAAAAATAAATAAAATAAAAGACCAGGCTAATTGCGCTGAAGATAGCAAGACCTACTCTAAGTCTCACAACATACCCTGGGTTCAAAGGCTTAGAACAGATCAGTGAGAGACTTAGAAGGTAATTTCTGGGTTTCATGGATACAAGTCCAACTTAGTTATAGCTTTGGAGGCCACACACACGGTAAACCATCAATATACAAAAAGTACAATGCATGTATGATTGCAATATCCCTTTAAAACATAAGACCACAAAAAAATTCTTTTAAAGGTATCAGGCATGAGAAATGGCATAAAGATGGTTTTTTGGGTGTTGACCCACTATAGAAATACAAATAGTTATTATGTAACTATTAGGGAAAAAATTGGATAGGAGGAAAAATTCTCTTTAAAGTATTTCCATTAAAAGAATAAAGAATTTCTCCTTTCAGTACTTTTCAATATAGCTGTATTGTTGTATTCATTCCTTTGAGTCACTATATCCAACTACATAGTTATAGATACTGTATGTACCTATAACAAAATATAGGTGGGGCATAAGAAGTTTACAGTAAGCATATTTTAAGATACCAAGAGCATTTATGAAAGCATGTATTTTAGTATTTCTAGAAGTCTGATTTTTTTATTAAAAAAAAAGTTAAATGTTTCAGTTCAGAAGATTTTATTGACATTTCTGGGTCTAACTACCAGCACAAGGAAAAATCATAAAATAAAAAATTGGCAACAGCAGAGTTTTTGTGAATGACTGCTGAGGGCTATTATTGCAAATACAAACACCACCTCACCTATGAATATGTTCATTCCAAATTAATGGCAAAATGAGAGTTTAGCACACAGAAAAGATTTGAAAAAAGTTGTCATTTAACTGGGAAGATTCTTCCTCCTCTAGACATATAAATAGCTAATACTTGTTCCTTGATACTATGAGTGAAATGCTGTTAAGTAATGAATACTTGAATTCCATCCTAGCCCAATTCATTCAGATGTCCAGGAGAGGGCCTGGGGATCAGTCATTTAAGAATTGTTTCAGATGATTCTTATCTTGACATGTATATTCCTATTTTATACATCAGGAATTAAGAAGTAAAATGATGTCCAGAGATAACATCACTATGTAAGGGATTTGATCTCAGTCAGGCTTCAGGACCTATGCTCTAAACTGTTTTGCAGTTCGAGTTTCAACAATTTAGCTTGTGACTTAAAAAAAGACACAAAAGACTATCCTAAAAATCCATGAGATTTACTGCTGCCCACCTGCAGAACATCACACAACTTCCCAACACAACTTCCACACTACTATATTTTGTAAGTATACAAAAAGGTTTCTTATTTGAAATAAAAAAGAAAAACGTCATCATACTTCTCCTGTACATATATATATTCACTTCAGTTTAACAAGATTTTGGTATCTTTTAGCATTTTTATTGCTTCACACAATGGATCTGTCTATATTAAAAAAGCAACCAAATCCTTGCAGTAACTAGACAAACGAGGAAACATGAAGCAGAGTAAATGTGTGTGCTAAAGAGGCAGAGCCATGACTGCAGCCATTTCTTACCACAAGATGTTGACTTTCTGTCCACCATATTCACACGCCTGGTTTCGGTGCGAAGCTTCTCATCAGTATTTTCCACCAGGTTGGCAAGGTCATCAATTATTTCTAGAAAGGAAAACAAAGATGCATGGTTAATACTCCAAAAATGCTCTGGTTCACATCACAGTATTCCAGCTATGGTAGTTCTCCCTAGTAATAAATACATCTATCAACTATAGCACATGAAAAGGGAACACACTCAAGTATAATCTTTGAAAACTGCAATTCTGATTCAAAGAAAAAAAAAACTGGTAGCAAAGGAGCAATGTCAAAAATTCAGGACAGAAGGCATGGCCCTATGAAATTATGGCTAGCTGAGTCATGACCTGAGTATAAAGGTGACAGACAACAAAGACAACATCGGGGTAATGGTGTCCATCTTAGGAGAAATGCTTGATGACAAGCAGTCAACCAAGTGGTGATACAGATAAAGCATTCTAAAACGGTGAAGCAGGGGACAAAAATGATGGTAAGGACTGAATCCATTTAAATACTGAGTTGAAAAACATACATGAATTAGGCTAGAGAAAGACATGAATGTTATAAACAATGACAATATAATTATAACAGTTGGGGAGGAGGAAGGTGAAAAGAAGTTGAAGGTGTCCAGGACGTTAAAAAGTAAAATACAGAAACTTGCAGCTTGATAAAAATCACCAAAGGAGCAATGTTTTATATAATCTTTCAGTTAGCCTTAGTAATTTTAATAATTACTTTTAGTACTTAGTAATTACTATCTCTTGTGATGAGTACTTTATATGACGTTTACCTTTTTTCAGATTTTAAAAATATTAAGTACTTGCCATTTAAAACAGCACATACAGTATGATCTTAATTATGTAAAATTATTCCTATCCATCCACTTATATGCACATTAATACCCCCTTTGTCCTCCAAGATCCCTAATAGACTTGGAACCTCAATAGTATTGAATCCTGTATGTTTTTCTTTCCTACACACACACCCCTTATAATAATCAACTAGGCAAAGTAAGAGATTAACAAAAATAACCCATAATGAAATAGATCGGTTAAAACAATATAATGAAAACTAAATGAATGCCATTTCTCTCAAAGTATGTTACTGTATGTAATATATCCAGCTTGTGGTTGACTGTAGGTAACTGAAATCAAACCTTGGAAAAGGCAGACAACTATACACACCTATATGCATGAATCTGGATAATGTTAATCTAATGATAGTCATGATATCTCTAGGGATACCAGGTGACCTTCCTTTTACTCCCTGTATTGTTTACTGATTCTTATGATGAACATATTTTATCCATTTTGATTCTCTGTCCTTCCCTCCCTCTCTTTCAGTGACTGCTTCAAAGATAGTGCCCAAAGCAAATGGCCATTTTTCTTTAAGAATGAACTAAACAAGAAGTCAAAGGTTTCCAAAGTGGGGTGTGAACTGAGTGCAGAAGCAGAAAAGCAATCTATGTACAAAAAAATAGCATGTGAAAGGCATGAAGAGATGGTGCTCTGTCCTGGCCTTCCTCCAGCACTTCCTCCAGCCTCCCTTTACTTATGGCCCTTACATGTTGTATTCTGATTATTTGTTTACATCTCTTTCTTTTACAAATAGAGTGTGACAGGTACTCACTTTTATTCATCTGTTTCTCCCACCCATCCCTGGGAGAGTGCCTAGTATACAGCAAGATAAAATAAATTCTACAAGATGAAGGCAGTGAATGAATGGCTTCTGAAAGATAAAAGCACTGAGCAATTTCAAAGCACTTTGATGCTTCTTAGAAAAGTGGATTGAAGCCAAATTTGTCAAATATTGTCTATATAACACTTACCTAAAAAATCTTTCACTATTATTTAACAATTCATTCATAACCCTATTCCTTTGTATTCAGTGACATACTCTTCCAGTTTTCCTTCCATCTGTCTATAAGCTCTCAAGAGTCTCCTTTTTTAAAATGCTGGCAACCCCCTGAGTTCTGCATATTTTTACTTTATAATACTAACGCAGTGGTATTATATCTCTGAGTTCACCAATATTTAAAATAAAAACCTGACAAATTTTTGCTCTACAGTGCTCCAAAATTTTTGACACCTAGAGCCAACTACTTACTAATTTCTACTTTAACATTCCTACCAACAAGCTCCTACCTGAATGTCAAGGTCTCTGAACTCTTCATCTTCTTTCAGATTTGATTTCTACATTCCTGGTATCATTTAATGGCACCATTGTTCATCTGCTCACCTACGCTAGCAATCTGAAGAGCTGCTCAGACTCCCTCCCCACCCCCCTTCATTAAGACATTCCATTTATTAGACACAGGGCAATTCTACCTCCCCGGGGTTTCTCAACCCCACCACTTCTCCTGACATGCTACTATTTCTCACAAAATTTTGTCAATGTTTCTCAAATAGTGTTCTAATATACCTTACTACTTGTAGTCCTGAATTTTTTTAATCCTATCGCCACACACTAACCAGGAACATACATCTTTTTTTAAGTCACAATGAGAATTTAAATGGCAGTATTTGGCTAGAGACTGCTGGACTGTACAACACAGCTCTAAAGCAATCATTTTTTTTTTTTTAAACCAACACACTCATCACTCTCATGCACACACACCTCCCACTATCACCACCAAGAGGCACAGTTTTAGACAATATCAAGAGGGAATAAAATTAAGTAGAAAAAAATGCACTAACCCCCGAAAAGTAGGGGGGATTGTGGACAGAAACAAAGAACAGATGGAACCAAAAACAAAAACAAGTATCTAGATGCAGACAATCCATTCTATCAGTAGTCACATTAGAATTAAATGGATTAACTCCTCAATTCAAAGAACAATGTCAGACAAGATTGAAAAAATAAAAAGACAATATCATGCTTTCAACAGTAATGCGTTGTACATAAATATAAAGCAAAGAAAGCTGCCATGGCTGCAACAGCATTAGACCAGACAGACTGCAAGTCAAGGAGTATTATTAGAGGTCAAAAGGAACCTTTGTTGTAATGAAAGAATACATGACAAATCCAGAACTTTCCAGTATTTAAAAATTGAGGGCCCTCCCTGGTGGTGCAGTGGGTTAAAGCACAGCACTAAGAAGCTAAAGTCACTTCAGCATGAGTTCAATCTCCGCCCCGAACGTGATCCACATGGCGTGGCAGACCTCTCCTGACCTGTCTCCTTCTTCGTCAGTCTGCCTGTTCTGCTCCCCACTCTGTCCTTGGTGAATCCTCTCACTGCCCCTGTACCTCTAGCCTGTACCCAAGTTCTGTATGCATAAATAAGTAAATCTTTAAAAAAATTAAGGAAATGATCTCTAAACAATCCATAGGACAAAGATGAAATCACAGGAGAAAATACAAAATACATGAACTGAATGGTGACAATCAAAACAAACATTGTAAAATACAATTAAAGCAATGCTGAAAAGGAATTTTATTGCTCTAAACACAAATACTAAGAAAAGTGTAAAATCAATGATCAGAATAAAGAAAATAACCATATGATAATATCAATAACTACAGAAAAAATATGAAAAAATTAATATTCAGGATAAAATTCTTAGCACAGCTGGAATGAAGGGGAAAATTTTCAATCTGGTGAAAGACACGTTTGGGACACCTAGCACTAACATCACACTTCATGGTGAAACACCAACCACTTTTCCTTTGAAGCCTGGAATAAAGCAGATGTCTGCTCTGACAACTTTGAACATTTCATTAGAAGTCTCACATTTAAAAAGGATTTTTGTATAGAAGAACTGGGGTGTAGTGAGAGGATTCATCAGAGACAGAGCAGTGAACAGAACAGGCAATTGAATGAAATATACTGCTTAGGGGAGCAGCCTGCAAGACAGGAGAAGTCTGCTGCACCATGTAGATCAGCTCCCTGGTGGGGGATCAAACAGCCTCAGAAGGCCTGCATGGTGGTAGCATTGATACTTAACCCCTAGGCCACCAGGGAGGCCCCCAGAAGTCTCACATTTTAATAAGGCAAGGGAAAGAACAAAACAGATTTTAAAAGCTATAAGTATGTGTATCTGCTTTAGACACAATTGTATACATAAGAAACTATGGAATCTATTTTAAAGCTGTTAGAATAAGTGAATTTAAAAGCCTGTTGATATTTCAATTAGAAAAAAGAATGACATATTTCTATAGTGACAACTGAAAAGTAAAAGATATCACTTACAGTACCATCAACAATTACATCAAATACTTAGAATAAAACAACAAAAGATACTCAAGACCACTATACTGCAAACTAGAAATCCTAAGTAAACGGAACACTGCACTATGTTGGATTTTAAGACTTAATATTTTAAAGATATCTGTTCATCCTCTTCAGCAGATCTACAGATTCAGTGCAATCCCAAATTACCAGAAAGCTTTTTAAATAAAACTGGTAAGTCAATTCTAAAATCTACATGCAATACAAATGATAATAATCAAAATAATCTTACAAAAAACAAACTTAGAGATATCACACTATGAAAATTTTTAGATTTGTTGTATTTAGAAATCAAGATATTGTGCTATTAGAATAAGGACAGAAAAATAAACCAATGCAACAAAACAGTTCAGAGATAGATGTGTGAGTATGTGAAAGTGTATATACCCTTAATTCTCAACAAAACTGTATCAATGGCAAAGTCAAACAAGGCAAGAAAAATCTTTTCACCAAATGATGCTGGAACAACTCTATGAAAGGAAAAAACCTCTGGGCCCTTTCCTCCTACCATAAACAAAAAAATTTATTTGAGTTGGTTCACAGACCTAAATTGTAAAGCCAAGAACTTTAATGTTTCTTGAAGAAAACATAGAAGAAAATCTTCAAGAACCTAGGGATAGGCAAAAATTTCTTGGACACAGAATATGAAAAGTCTACCCACAAAATAAAAACTGGTCACTAGACTTCACCAATATAAAAAGTTTCGGCTCATCCAAAGATATCATTTTGACAGTACGCCAGAGTAAAAATTTACAGGCTGTATGTATGACAAAATATTTGTATCAAAAATATATAAATTCTACATGTTAACAATGAAAAAGACAACCTGATTTTAAAATAGGCAATAGATTTGAACAGC